ACTGTCTAAGATAGTGCTATGATTTTAAGAAGTTCTAGAAAATAACTACTAGCATATTTCGGTATATTCTTCATTCACGTGATGAAATCTAAAATATTATTATAAATCGAATCTCTATGTTTGAATTTTCGTGATATTTCTGAAGGACACGAGCAATAATAGTGAACTAGTTTTGTACCACACGTAATAGGTCATCGCCGGAATGACAAAGACCATCGTCGCACACACCTCCATTCGAGTCTATCGCTTTTAAATCAAAACGTGGCGTGACTTGTCTGAACATTACACGCAAAATTTTTGCAATGCAAAAAAAAACGCAATGTAAAATTATACTTACATCATCCAAAGATATTCTTCGTTTTTGCTCGTTTGTCTCTGCAGTCCCCCAAATTGAGTACCTGCAATGATAACCATGGTTATTATCACAATGAGAACATTATTTCGACAGTGTATGTAAGCCGTAACGTATGTTAGTTATATGTAAGCCAATGAATGACGCAAAGAAATAATTTAAGAGTATGCTTATGTTATTTCTTTGAATCTTATATCTTTACTTTTAAATAAACCTGAAAAAGGTTTGTTTATTTGACCGCACGAATCTCAGGAACTAATGGTCTGATTTGAAATAATCTTCTTGTGTTGGATAGTTCATTTATTCAGGAAGGCCATAGGCTATAAAATAGCACGCTACGATCAATAAGCGCCGAGCAGAGCGGGTGAAACCGCGAGAAATTAGTTAGTTATCGTATTTTGTAGCAATTTAAAATAGTAATTATCACTATGACATTTAATAAGTGATTAGTGATTGATTTAGAAGATAAATTAGTGATTAACCTTAGGAACAAGTAGATTAGCTAGTTTGCAACCATTATCTAAAAAAGTTTTGAAATAATAAAAATCTTACACTGCTAGACTATTATCAATTGACTAATTGGCATTGTAGATTATGTTACTAGTGAGACAATTTGTTAATCTTCTTATAAGTAGGTAATAGGATTGATTAGAAAATGCTCGGTCTGCCGCAAAATTGATCAATTCATATTTTACTTGAATCCATTCGTATGGTATTTTTACTTTTTCTAGTACTCCATTAAAATTTTCATAACTCAAGACTGTCGCATATTTTAATAAGTATCGCAATGACGGTACGTGTGGTGTGTACCACACGTACCAGGAATCTTCGGTTCTAAAAAAATAAGATTCTTACTGTCTGAGTAAGATAGAATGATGTTCAAGTAATACATTCCTTCGCTGGTCATTTAGACACCAAACTAGTCGAAAATCGCTCGGTTACATTTATTCTTTTTTTATGGAGTAGGAGGCAAACGAGCAGACGGATCACCTGATGGTAAGCGATCAGCGTCGCCCATGGACACCCGCAACACCAGAAGAGTCACAGGTGCGTTGCTGGTATTTTTTTGTTTTGAGTATTTGTGCAGTAGTACGAAATACTATACAATGCAATAATAAATACTACAAAATGAACAGATAATAATTCCATCTACACAATGTTCGTGGGCCGTTACAACATTTAATTTTGCTCTCTCATGGTCAGCATTATTAGAGTCGAACAAAGCCATGCAATCATAAAATGACGTCAGATTTCTGTTTTCACGTTTTTTGCTTATCGTTGAAACTGTATACATTGTCCATCATGTGATATCATCATATTTTATTCCGTCTAGTTTATTTGCTAACGTGATAATTATAGTCATATTTTTACTTCCAGAAATATTATTCTCCAAGATACGTATATTGATATGTTTGTAACGTACGGTTAGTCATCAATGGCCGAGTTTACTGATTTATTTTCAATTTCAACTCGTTCGTGATTCTTTGAACTGATATCTATATTGGGATCTACAATTAGTATGATTGGTTCCAGAAGTTCTGTAATAAAAATATCATCACCGAGACTGGTATTCCCAGTAGAATTGTCTTATATGACTCATAAAATTTATCGGTCAATAAAATTTCAAACTTCTGCAATTGATTTTAAATCATTGATGGAGAAAATTCGTTTGCTCATAACGGTGCTTGAAGGTCTAAGGGTTATAAATAATTGGGCTTCATTTTCCGGTCCTTAGCCCCGAGCTATTTTTATATTGGAAGCAGCAATTACTGGCTATTTCAATTCAAATGGATTCAAAGAAATTCGTACTCCATTGATTACACGTTGAAGATTATTTCTCGCTTTCAGATAGCGTTCGTTACCTATGAGTGCGGATATTTAGTGGGTGACATTGAATTTTGGAACCTGTTAGATAAGTATTATCTGTAGTTTTATCTTACTGTAATACGCATTAGCCATCGTCTAGAGCCCGTCTAACCATTTTAAAGGAAGTATTCTGTTTATTACAAAAGTTTAAGGAAAATTTTCAATGTTTTGCTCATTACTTGACGCCAGACGTTACATTTGTTATCGACTAATATTTTAGCAAATATTAAATTTATTGAAGCCATTCGTTGGTTGAATTTAATAATAGATATAGGTATGACCAGTGACCATTTGATTGTTAATAACGTTGTCTTACAAAAATTTGATATCGACATTGATTTGAATATGTGATTGCAAAATAGAATCAATTATAAACACAAGACATTTGGAAACGATTTATATTTCCTTGTTGATAGCCTTCAACACAAATGCATAACAAAAAAAAATCGGCAAATTCAAACAATAACGACTTTGTGCGCAGAAGATGGCAATGTTATAGCAATTTATGTAATCATTTATCTTTTATAATAATGCTACGTCGTTTTTCATGACAACAAGGTTTCAAATATAACTGATAAAAAATCACAAGTCAACCAAAATACTGCTGGCACGATGTTTAGTATTCGTGCGTTGGATAATCAATTATAGCATAAGAGTATTCTAATTGAAGATGGTAATAAGTATCGTAAAATCGTAGAAACCTTGGCACAATGGCGTGCCAATAGAATACCATGATGACGTCACGATACACATGACATTCATCACCATGTGCGTCGAACATTTGGACAAAAATAAACGACTTTTGAAAACAATGCAGGGTCTGAGATCCTTTGTTTGGTATGACTGAGAAATATGCATATTGTAACAGTAGTCAAATTGGGCAATGGGCTTGCTCGAGTTCTTTATTCAAAAGCCATTATTACTGAATGTACGCGTAATGCAACCCACATTACAAGAACATTAACGATAAGTAATTATGGACTTGGAACTTGTAAACTAAACGACCTCAGAACAAATGAAATGAAGTATTTTTACAAACGCAATACTTAATTAAGCAACATCATCGTTAAGTCAAGCTTTGTTAATTATTATTACCATTGTTCGGTAAAAATTCAATTCATTGACATTAAAATTATCAACTCGTTTACCTACAAGAACCAGTTTAGAAAGTGGAACAAAATGAACTTGATAAAAATATCTAAACCTATTACATAAACGAAATAATATATTAGAGTATATTTAATAAATATTAATGAACCTTGAACAGTACTTTTGTTTAGTTTAGATTGTCCCTGTACATTAACGGCCGTTCCCAACATTCTATCTATCCCTTGTTTTGCCCTACTGGAGATAGAAAAATCTATCTATCTTTAAATTTGCCGTCTCAATAAACTTACTGGCGATAGGCAAACTAATCTATGGTTGTCATTACCTGTGGGAGGACGGATAGGTTATCTACAGATTGCTTTTACTATGAAATTGACAGTTCATGCGTCCCAATAATAACAAAGGTGCTATCTGTCAGTGACTTTGGTTATCCCTAGTAGGCTTTAGCTCTATCGCAGGATTTTGAGGGATAGGAGTATAGTTATCAGTGAAGATCAGTATATATATCTTTTCTATTTCTTAAAAATACATCAGATTTAAACAAAAAATCATTTCGGACTCCAGTTCAAGTAGTAGTTCAAGTGCTATTGATATTTTGAAACAAATAAGGAACTGGGAATCTGACGAGGACGATGTGGTTACCACAACACGACCATATCAAGAGCGTGTTAATTACATGTACAGATATGACGATTACGAGTTTGTGTATAGATTTAGGCTAAGAAGACTAAATTAGAGAATTTTATACTTGTCCGTTATTCATACCTACATCTTTATTTTAATTAAGTGTTCCAGTGGACGAGAAATGAGATAAACATTGAATGTGCAAAATGCATAGTGTAATAAAAAGATGGTTTAGAATAAACTGTTTTATTTTATTTAATTATATGAATTATTATTGGGTTGTTTCTCCTTCTCCAGTATATCTAGCTAGAGTTTCCGTTTCTTTAATGCATGTATTTCTTTTCGATCTGTTATTGACTCATATCATCTGCATCAGCTCGTCTTTTCTGTTTTCCTAGAAAAATATTATTTATAATTATAATATTATTTATAGTGTATTATTCCATTTTGCTCCTCACCATATAAAAGTTTTATAACTAAACAGTATTGAAAAGTAAATAGTCATAACCAATACCAAACCCCAAAAATGAAATATACAAGAAACTATCTGTGATACCTAATCCTCCAAGTCGCATCCTTGAGCTGGTTATTGCTGGCATTTGTGACTTTGCTGAACATCAATGGATTTGCCTCCACCAATTGTACCAGCTGCATTACTTCTTCTTTCGTCAATAGCATATTCTTTTGCTACAATGAGTGCACCAAACACGAGTTATTAGTCACATGTATGTTCATGCAAACAACAAAAAATATTCAACAATCCAAGTATAAAAGTTCAGTGAAAGCCATAGAACTAAACTTCAATAGCTTCAATCTAAAGCTAGAAAAGCACAAACTGTAATACTTACTGAGCTCATTTATTATAACAAACAATTCTTTGTTATATTATCATAATTTATTGTAAACAAAATCAACAAACAACAATGTCAAATGTCAATGTTTTAACAAACACGTTCCGTTACAAGTCGCGCACTCATCCAGTCGCAAACATGAAGTTTTTGTTATATTTAACTTAAAAAAATATATTGTTTACTATAAAATTTGTGCAAAATATAAGGTTTCGTTAATTAATTCAAAATGTTTGTGATATAAACATGACAAGATGCTTTGAAAACATTATTGTAACTTAGTGGCACTCTGTGGGGCTCTGCATACAATGAAACACATGGGAGGGCTCAGATAGGCACCCTATCTACTGATATCTAGAGATAGCAAAGACACATTTTAGTTATTGGGACGACATCGAAAGATAGATAGCTTTTAACTGACTATCGAGGATAGCTATCTATCTTTACCTATGGATTGAATATTGGGAACGGCCGTAAGATTGTCGTACAGTTGACAAACAAGGTAACCGGTTTCCATTCTCCACTAGTTAACCTTACTTTAATATGCATTGTTAAATACGTGACGTGCTTACGTCGGGCCCATCCCACTTTGTATGTTTTTTTTTGTTACCATGTGGCTGGCCGGAGATGAATTTATTATAGGACCAAAAATAGCCAAGAATGTTTTTTTTTGGTAACGTTTATGTCGTGTCAACAACAAAAGATGCCAGGTTTATTCATAAAAAAATATGAAATGTTTTGGTTAAAGTATGTTTTGTCTCGTTCTTTCAAGTTGAACGTGTGCGTGCGAATGTTGTTGACAACAGGACGGACTTATTTTTAAGTTTTAAAGAACACACAAAATCAGAAAATATTGAAACAAATAAAACCCACCTGTTTGGCTACTTTGAGAATTTGTAGAACTAACACTTGTTTCACTGTTGGTGCGATTTCTTGAGGTAAATAAATTCCACGGGCTGTAGTTGGAAGCTTGAGCTGTATTTCGGTTTTGAGACGAATTTTTGTTATTAGAATCCATTTTGTGTTACGATTTAGATTTTAAAACGTTGAATAAATTTATGAACTTGTTTTTATTATAAATTGGAAATGATAGAGTCGCGCACGCCGGTCGATATTACAATATGATATGACACGGTAACAAACTAAACAGTGAATGCGACGCGAGCGCAGAGCACAACTTTGTTTTGGTCCGAACGTGCACGAAGAGACGCGGAAACTCCCGAATGTCGTGTTTATGTTAGCTGTGTTTTGGTGAACTTTGTACTATTAATATACATTATACACTGTTCTTATTATTTAAATGACTTCTGCGTCATTTTAACTAATTGGTGACTAGGTTAATTGTTCACTTAGTATATGCTACATAATAATATCTACTTCGCCATTAATTGATAGTCAATAATATTTTGTTTATTTATTTATTTATTATAAAAAATCTTCCTACACTATCATTACAGGATTTTCCCGATTCGACAGTGAGGCTTAATTCTGTAAACAAAACAACGAAAGCAAAAAAATAAATACAAAACACAATAATAATAAAGAAGGCCTTACAATACCTATATACACATTACATCTTAACCTGTTAAATGAACTACCTTACATAATAACTACAACTAACCTTAAATTACATAAAACTAAATTACAATAGTAGGAACTATACACGAAGGAGTTGTAAATATATCAATACCATTGTGGAGCTTATTAATGATATGGATTACGCGAGTCAGTGGTGCTTTAGCGAGAAGGTTGGTCCTCACCGCTGGCACTGCCAATATTGGCGGATGTCGCCGTTTCCACACGTATTAGGTGTATCACGTATCACACACACACCAATTAGGTGCATAGGAAACGATTGAAACACCTGAAAAGAATAAGATATTTTGTTTTTCCTCATTAATCATTACCTAAAGACCCATTACCTAAGTTAAAATTAATTCGATAACGAAGTACTTACCTAATATTTTTTGCAGCGGCCGTATTATTATCCCTTTCCAACAGGCAAAATAAATTCTTTTTAAATAAGGGCCCAATCAAACAATGTAAGAAAAACAACCCCAATTAATACTTTGCTCGACATGGGTGAACCGGAAATTCACATACGAAATTCTGCACTCCATACAAACAAAACAAACAAAAAGGAAAATCCAAAAAATAATATCAGCAAAAAGTTTGTTAAAGATCGATCTGGAGGACCAATTAATAAAAAATAAAACCCTTGACAAACTTGTTGACAAATAACAAATCAACCGTGACATTTTCGACAATATACTCATTGTTGAATCGTATAATTTCTTGTAAACTTTAGAAAAAAAACAGCACCATGAAAGTCCCTTACTTGGTTAATATGAATATCTACGAGGCTTATGCCCCACTGCCTACTATGACGATGTCACCTGGAGAGGCTCCTCGGAAGATCAGAGCTGAGGACTTTGAGTGGGATACCGACACGACACCTGCTCCACTTACATTTTACGCTGCTCTCGAACTATCAAGAATGTTCGACAAACTCAATCCATTGAAGAAAATCCTTCAGAAAGACATCGATATGCTGATGGACTTATATCCTGCTAGCATTAAATTGAAATACAGCGTCCCTAACATCAAGGTTAGATTTTGTGAATTTATATATTATTATGGTACCTACTTATTTATTGCAAATTATAGTCATAGTAGACATCTCAGATCTCATATTTTATTCGCGAAAACTTCATGTTCTCCCGTGGGGTGGGGACCTGGAGATTTGTAATATATGTATTTTACGCCTAACACAGACAATTGAGGCAATGCTAGGGCATTGCGATAAAAATTAGATCATAAATAAATTGTAAAACTAAAAAAAGTGTAATTGTACATAACATAACATCACGTCTTTTTATCCCCGAAGGTAGGCCTCGGCCCGGTATTATGGCAATGCCATATACCGGGCACAATTCCAAACTCCGTGCTACTACTGAGTTTTTTTTTAAATCCAATAATAATTTGCTCGACCCAGGAATCGAACCCGAGACCCCTTGTCCGGCTAGGCATTCGCACTTGCGACCACTCAGCCAACGAGGCAGTATCATTGTGAGGAGAAATAAATTTATTATTATTATTATAGTACACAATGATGGTGTTTGTTTTAGGATGAACAATATTGGAAACGATCATTTGAGACTAAATTCCCTTCCAAGAGGGAGTTGGGAAATATTTTCTGGAAAGGCACTTACTTATCCGCTTGTCTTCAAGACTATTTGGAGTCTGTTAACCCTGACGTTTTTAGAGAAGATGAAGCTGTAGAACTTGCTACACTGGTATGTGAAATTTATTATTTTGTAATGCAAACTGCATACATCGAATGTCATTTTAATGCCAATCAAACTTCAATGTAATTTATTTATGTTTAACATCACCAGGTCAGTCCATATATTTACTTCTTTGGAATCAACCAGCTGCAAATGGTGCGTCAACCAACACCTCCCCTACCTTCCGATATAGTTGAAGACACGTGCGAATTTAGTGTTCCAAAAGTCTACGACCACATCCCCATGGAGCCAGTTTTAGCCAAACTTTATAACCTCCAAGAAATATCATTAGTGTTTGGTATTAATAATCTAGATGATAGATATCTGACGAGATATTTCGAATTTTCATTGGCTGATTGTGATTCTATTTGCCGTGGACTAGAAGACTTGAAACATTTGAGAGTATTTCGCATCAACCGGAGTAACCTAGATTGTTCTAAAGTAAAACTGATTCTTCAAAGTCTTGTCAAAAAGGCAAGTATTGAGGAATTGGATTTTAATCATTGTAAAATTGGTGATTATGGTATGAAAGCACTTGGTGGTTTTATTTATATGCATGAAAATGTAAAAGTGGTGAGAATAGCCAACAACAGATTTAAAGAAGAAGGTATCCAAGGAGTCGCTTATGCTTTGCAGATGAAACCAGCGGCTCCTATCGAACTTTTAGGTACTTATAGTAAAAAAATATAATTCTAGTACTTAACTGCAGAACACGATCGCTAATTTTTAGTTTATTTTTGCAGACTTCAGCTTGAACCCGATGTCTCTAGAATGTGCGACTATGTTCGCGGCAGCATTTGTCAGGTGCAAGGAAAAACCGCAAACTTTGATCGTTAACTCTTGTGGTTTTAGCGGAGCATCCGCTGAAAAGGTGAGATTTTACTCCAGTCTAAAAATTAATATATATAATTCAAAATGAAAAGATCACGTTTCTAAACCGCATTTCTAAGAAAACTTGTTTTACAAGTAGACTTTATTGGTCGTATAAAATATGTGTGCTGTCGTATAACAATGATTTACTGGTATATGACTGTAACACCTGCGACTTTTTACTGCCTATGTAGATGGCGGGTCTCCTCAGCTTGAATCGTGGTCTCACTAGGCTGGATATAGCCGCCAATGATTTGTCAGGTGACGCCGAAGCAACTTTAATTCGTGCTCTTGAAAGGAACAGGAAGATCCTCAACTTGGACCTACGAAGAACTAGTAAGTCTATTTATACCAATATCCTATAATAAGTTTCAATGTCGCCAAAACTTAATTTAAAATGTTTTATGTAGATGTGACTTAAATGTTTACTTCTTGCACTTATTTTATTTCCTTTTTTTTAATTAATTGATTTATGTAAATTCTAATGTTGTGTAAAGGTAGCATACGATACGATAGTTACTTGGCAGATAAACTGTCTCAAAACTTGTGTTTTTTGTTCAGAAATTTCTGATGAATCACTTGCGAAGGTAGAGGAACTTTTGAAACGCAACAAGAATCTTCTGGGACAAGAGTTGGAGCCTAGTGACGAAATACCTCCTCTGTACCTCAATGAACCAGAGTACCTTATCTGGGAGTACAATCCTAATAATCCAGAACACATACCTGGAAGGTACCCGCCAAGAGTGCCAGAAGTATAGGTTTTGATTTAGAAAATAGTAAATAATAGCTGGAAAAAGACGATGAAGACAAACCAACAATGATAGCATTTACTTTATTTTTATAATCATGGTTTGTTTTCTATACAAACATATGTAGTGTGAATTTTCACATAATTGAGAGTAGATTGAAATTAGAAAGCGATGATAACACTATTGGTCAATTTTTGTAAATGTTTTTATGTGGCTAGAAATAGGTACATGTCGTTGGTTAACAAATAACAGCGTCTATGTCAGGCTGTCATGTTTAAATACTTAGTATGTCTCATGCTTTCAACATTATCAATTTAACAAATATTCAAAATTTTGTAGACAATATTTTTTCTTAAATTGGCGCTTATTTTGCTTTACTAGAAACAACTTTATCTTAATACACTTGTTCATCAACCAAATATCATCCTTAACTTTGTTGCTAAAACAAAACTATCTTGTCTTAACACCTATTTTATTATTTAAACATGTTTAATTTTTGTAGTTTGGTATATCAGTAATTACTTTAATGAGAACTTGACCCTTTTTAACCTTGTTTGAACTAAAAATCCCTGGCTTATCGCTTCTTTGATAAACTTTATATTCGTAGTACCTAAAAATTCATTTTAAATACCTAATTTATTTAGCGAGATAACTGTTTACTGATTACACTTCAAGTTGGCCATTTATTTTGCATTTGTTTGTTCTTTACATTTTTCATTTGGTATTTTTATTCGTTGTAAATAAATAAATTCTCATAATTTATTATTCTTACCTCGTAATTTGTGTTTTGCTTTTAATAATTACATCATCATCTTCTGGTTAATGTTATTGTGTTCTTACTGTAGTATTTTAAATTCAAGTTGGTTATTCAAGAATTAAAAGATTCCCATCTCTAGAATACAGCAAACATTTTCTGGAAAACAACTATAAATACTCCATTATTTTTACCTTTGCCGCATACTAGCAATCTAAAATCCTGTACACACCATGAAAAAGAACAAACCAGTTATTTCCGAAATAGAGAAGAAATAAGAAAACAACGTATTTTCCTGGCCGCATGCAGATTTACCAAAAATTGGTTTGGTAAAACATTGGGCGCCGAGCGACATACATTCATAGATGTCAGGCCAATCGCGGTTGGCTTTCTGTTCTATAAAGGTATTGGGTCCAGGACACTATTGTCTAACGTGGTGTTCATCAAGCCGCATCCGGATTTTCCGAAATGGATAGATATGTTTTCGTACGAAAGAATTCACATTCGATCTCTAGAATCATGTAGCTGGAGTGAATGTAATTTAATATTATAAATAATAATATTGTAGTATGCAGTTTTAGTACACTGATATTTTGAAGAAAGATGAAGGAAATCCCACTAAAATTAATTGTATACATGTCTTTTTGACTGAGTAGGTACTATTTATAAGCAGTAGTTAGGGCAGTAAACACAATTTACTTAAAAAATCGAAATCTAACTAATCTTTGCTACTTCTGAAACCATTTGAAACTGAATCATGCATACAAACAATGACTTAAGTCATATTGATCCAGGTTATTTCAATAACATAACATCACGTCTTTTATCCCCGAAGCGGTAGGCTAATCTTTGCTACTTCTGAAACCATTTGAAACTGAATCATGCATACAAACAATGACTTAAGTCATATTGATCCAGGTTATTTCAATAACATAACATCACGTCTTTTATCCCCGAAGCGGTAGGCAGAGGTGCACATTATACCACTGTACAATGTTACACCCACTTTTCACTATTTATGTTATGAGGCCCATGTAATAGAGGGTGAGCTTATTGCCATATACTTATCTGGCACAGTTCCAGACTCCGTGCTACTTCTGAGAATTTTGAGAATGTTGTTTTAATATCACCCGTCAATTAATGTGATAATCTGATTTTGTTTAATATTACTTTTCCTTCAAAGCATTTGTTATGCAAACATCATGACATCACCAATTCTCAAAAGTTTTTAGGTAAAACACATTATTCACAATATTGCCGAACATCGAGAACAAAACAATACCATATTCTTATAATATCAGCGTTGTACCGATAACAATTCTGTAGCATTACAAGTGTTATACGAATCGTCTTCAAATAGTGATATAACACTTTAATAATCATGAGAGGTAGTAAGAATATAATTCGTTAGATGTAGGTACTGAAAGCAAGATCGCCTTGACCTGGAAAGACACTTAGCCATTTAATTTAATCAGCAATTGTCCTACAGTAGTGTAGTGTATTGTTTAGAAACACGATTAATAACTCTTCGTATAAAAAGATCTTGAGTAAAATGTGGTAATGAAATTTCTTGAAAGACAACTTTTAGTAATATAGTATCGCAGCTATCTTCTTACAGTTTGTTTAGTTTATAATTGCAGTAAAGGCAACGAGAGAAGCAGTGTTAAAATTGCTATAACATAACATATTCGCCCCACGCAACGATGAGACGACATTAGCGAAGGCTTTGTCCTCAACAGTTTTTCGTCAGCAGATAAAGGCTAACTACATGTAGGTCCACAGTCTGTGTACATAAAAAACCTCGATAATTGTGTAAATTTATTAAACTAAGTAGTACACCGTACCTGACAGATGTTACATAGAGGTACTATACGACCCAAGCAAGCGCTTTCTAATTAACAGAGCAAATAACATAACACAACGCCTTATATCCCCAAAGGGGTAGGTAGAGGTGCACATTATGCCACTGCAATGTAACACCCACTTTTCACTATTAATGTTATGAGTTCCATATAATAGGGGGTGAGCCTATTGCCATGTACCGGGCACAATTCCAGACTCCGTGCTACAACTGCGAATTTTAAAATAACTCAGTTATACTTTGCCCGACCCAGGAATCAATCAACCCGAGATTCCTTGCCCGGCAGTCGTATTTGCGACCATTTCGCCAAGCAACGAGGCAGTCATACTGCGTAGGGTATTATATATTTAAGCATATGTACTTAGTTAAGATTATAAAACGTAGAAACATACACTTTACTTAACTAAAATACTTGGAATTCGGACAATTGTTTGTAATAATACCACCCCACAGAATGTGAATATTACACTGATAACCCAAGTTCGTGGCGTTTAATTGTTATCAACAACTGAATAACATTTATGTTCTGATATTTTTATTATTTGACATGATATACAAAGTAATTAGTCCGAAAAACTCCTTGGGGTCTGTTCCTGATTCTGATTTTCTTAAAATATTTTTTAAAATGGTTTTATGTTTTCTTTTAGTGCAAATTAGAATTTTAGGTGCTTAAAAGAGACTTCTGCATTAGCCACTAAGAGTAACCGGGGCTCCGACTCGACGTACAGGAGAAGGAACGGGGTGGTTTTTAGTCAGACTCTCAGGCGGGAGAAGCCATTCGATGATTTTCACCCTTTAAAAAAAAAAGGATTCAACTGCAAGCAATCTCTGCATTGTCCAGCTAATAACGACAAACACTTTCAAAGACAGAAACCTTTGTTTAGCAATGATATAATATCAGGTGAAGTGAATGACCCATTTTCCAAAAGTAAATATAAGAATGTTTTGCAAAACCAAGAGGGAAAACATAATATCTAATGCTTACTGAACACCTAAATGACGCAGTACGAGTTGCATTTATTCTAGATGCAGATTTTACTAGATTACGTCTACTTATGAGGATAAATGAAAGTCAGTAGCTTTATCTTTCAGTCTATTCTTATATCAAATACGTAATAATCTCTTATCGTTGATAACACTAGTCTTTATCATTTTCATTGACTGATTTCGAACAAACTCGTGCCTAGTGTCATGTTTACCAAAGGCTTTATATAAAATTTAGAGTCTTTAGTAGGTACTTACGTACATACATAATCATACCCGCATTGAGAAATGCGTAGTGATTATAGCTCGAACCTTCTCCGTGAGAGAAGAGGCTTTGGTCAGCAGTGGGCATTTATTACCTATATACTGTTTTTGCAAGTACCTATGTATATTCCAAAACTGCAATTATTTAGCAGAGAATCAAAGGTGATTATTGCACTACTATTGTTATATTCTGGTGACGTTTCTACGATCTCCAAGTTGCAAGCTAAGGGTGGAGATCAATATGTCTACATTGAGATATCTCTATATTTAGCAGTATGTATTGGCATAACGGGGATGCTTCTTAAACCTTTTTCTCTAATATGAAAAATGGTATTAGCAGGAAAATATTTGCATAACCCATCATTGTTTATAGCCATACTTTATGTAGGTAACTTTTATTAGGTCAAAAAATATCACAACACTTTCAAGTGCCCGCTGTTATAATAGAGAATCGATGAAAAGTGGCTATCTGACACGGCTATCGGACATCGAAGTGGCATCAAGTGTTCCTTTGTGGTGACTGAGATCGCCACTACTTAGTACTATTAGATATTAGTAGATTTTAGCTTTCATCGAACAAATAGCCATGTAGTTTATAGTAGGTTTCGTAGTAGGACCTATGATAAAGGAAAATTTATTTTTTTAAAAACGTTGCCCCACATTAGGATTTCCTCCTGTGTCGTGGGTGCGTTTACAAACATACAAGTTCACATACACAATGACACCCAGACCCGATACAACAATTTGTGGATCACATAAAGTGTTGTTCCGTGCGGCAATCGGACCCGCGACACATAGTACGGCAGCCGGTTGCCCAGCCACCGCACCAACCGTGCAGTCAAAAATATATGTCATGAGAGAGCAGCGGGACAGTTGTAGATAATGATCAGGTTTTATTGGCTGCCCTATTCATTAGACATAATGTCATGTTATGTTAAATCCGTTTCTCAAGCAGATTGACAAACAGAGAAGGAAAAGCATCAAGAGGGAAACTGGACTTATAAATATGTTGAAATTACTAATCTGCTTTGAGTATGCGCGATGATCAATGTGGGTAGCGATGATCAATGCATTTGAAAGAGACTGCCCTTTTTTTAAGGAGGGAATATCCTCGAATGTCTTCTCCTGCCTGGGTGAGGCGGAAGGGAGTGTCAGACTCTTATTGACTAAAAACTGCCCCGTTCCTTCTCCTGCACTTCGAGCCGGAGCCCCGGTAACCGGTTAGGTTCTCCGCGACTCCGAATCGGCATCAGCCCTATTGGGCCCCATCCGTGGTGGTCTGAAAGAGACTGCCCTACTGTACATCAGTATTATGCGTTCTGATACACTCATATGAGTATATTAGAAAGATAAAATATTGTCACTTTTTCACACGTTTTAGCCTTATTGTAGTACTTTAATCCCGGATCAGTTTGCAATATATACGTAATGTTTCTCGTAAATATTATTTCGATAAGATATAGATTGCAACACAGAACTGAGGTAACTATTGTTTAATCAGCACTTACGGTGTCAATTTTATCATATTTTAAATCTTTATAATGTCTATCACCTATATTTTGAAGTACATAATATCTACTTGTGTACCGTATCTAAGTATTTATCTTAAGGATAAAAACAAACAAGTTCATAGTAGTATCGTATATTTTATAAATAGACATTACGTTCTACGATCGTTTTTCGAAATTATCGGAAAATTCTTAGCATTATGCCCCGATGTATGACAATAGGCTCATGTTATATAACTGGTGAAATATGGGCGTCACACGGTACTTCCACATTCATCATCTTTGAATCCCTTCGGAGTCAAGAGGTTATTTCCTCATTTAGGTATTCTAACTTTAACT